AGTGGTGAGTGGTGGAGGATGGGGCAGCTCCATGCTGGCGGAGTTGGCTCCCCCAGCTTGTGGCCATCTCACTCTCAGGGTGTCCCAGGGATGGAGCAGGGGGAACATCTGCCCGCTCCTGGGAAGCAGCAGATGAATAAGATGCCACTGACTCTGGGGACTGGGTGGCCTGGGTCCCCTTTCACAGGGGTTCCTGTGGAGCAAGCGGCCCCCCCAGGGGTCTGCACCTCCCTGGGGGGGGCTGCATCGTGCCCTGCCTTTGCTACTGCAGGGGCTGCGGGGGGAGCACCGTCTCCTGGCTCGCTTCCAGGCCCTGGAGAAGCGCTTCGAGGCGCTGGAGGCTGCGGTGACAAGGTGGGAGCTGCAGCGGGGGGCAGCAGCGGTGGCAGCAGGAGGAGAGCCACCCCCAGGGGATGTCCTAGCGCTGCTGGAGGGGCTGGTGAGCCGCCGGGATGCGGGGCTGAAGGAGCATCTCCGCACTGATGTGACCAGCCACCTCCAGGTGAGGGGCGTGGGGGGCATGTGGGGAGGTGGCATACAGGGCCGGGCTCCGATGTTCCCCCTTGTTCCTCATCCTGCAGGGCGAGCTGGATGCCCTCCGAGCCCAGGTGCAGAGGGATTTAGATAGGCGTCTTGGGAAGATGGCACAAGCCTCTCAGGTAAGGGGACGAGCATGGTGGTGGTACCTGGGCAGGACATCCTCACCACCGGCATCATAGGTCTCACCCCTTCCCCTTCTCCTGACAGGAGATGGAGGCACGCTTGCTGGAGCTGAACTCGGAGTGGCAGAGGTAACGTTGGCTGTCTGGGCAGAGCTGCCGCTCTGTTAGGGGCAGGCAGGTAGCAGGGTGAAATCCGCATAGCGAGGCTTAGGAGGGGTTTCCAGGTCTGGTTTGCTCGGGGCAAAGGAGAGGTTGAGAGGTACAATCTTGGGTGGGGAAAGGAGGGATGGGTATGTGGGTCTTTCAGCAAGAAAGTGCCCTGGCTGGCAGCAGGGCTCAAAGGGTGATTGCAGCAAATGGCCTTCACCACCGTCATTTTGCATCACCATGGGGAACGTGGCCCTTCAGCTGAGGGGTGAGCTGGGGATGCTTTCCCACGGGATGCAATAGAAGAGGTCATTGCCACAGGAATTAAAACCATTTGGGGCTGGAGATGGGGTTGAGTGTAGGTGATGGGGGATGAACCTCCTCCCCCACTTTGCAGAGGGGAGCTGGGACTGTCGGTGCATGATTTTGTTGCCTTTCTCTTGGCACAGCTCAGCACAGGAGGGCCTGCGAGGGAGCTTCCAGCAGGAGGTGGGCAAGCTGGAGCAGGAGGTGGCAGCGCTGAGGAGGGAGCTGGCCAGCCTCAAGTTGGACCAGGAGGTGATGGGGAAGCACGTGGAGGGGATGCTGGAGCAGCTGAAGGCGGTGCGGGCTGATGTGAGTCCCCAGTCCCCACCCTGTTTGGCAGAGGGAGGCGTGAGGGACCCTGCTCTGGGGCTGAGCTCTGTCCCCACCATTTCAGGTGGAAGCACAGTTCCCAGCGTGGGTCAGCCGGTTCCTGTCGCAGCCCCAGCAGGACGGCGCCACCAGCCTTGTCCTCCAGCGGGAAGATTTGCAAGCAGAGCTCCAGGCCCTGGAGCGCAAGATCCTGGCCAAAGTTCTGGAGGACCGGAGGCTGTCGGCACGGGATGCTCAGGCCGGCATTGGAGTGGCCCTGCGGCAAGGGGGGACCACAGGGGTGACAGAGGAGGTGAGATCTGGCCTGAGCCCCAGGGGCATGGTGGTGGCCACAGGTATGGGGTTGGCGGCGGTGGGGGGGAGCTGGCACAAGTGCCTGGCAGATGGCTGAGCCATAGGGACAGCCCTTACAGGTGGGACATCGATCCTGAGCTCACATCCCACCTGACAAGAGCATCCCTGAAACTCCTCTATCCCTTCTCTGCCACCAGCCTCTACTGGGCTGTGCCTGTGCCCTGCCCTGGAAGGGGTTGTAGGTGGCAATATCCGCACGCCTGCGAGGCTCTTGCTGTCTTAAAATCCAAGTTTCTGCTTGTGCATCTTTCACCCAGAAGTGGGGCAGGTGCCAGCAAGGTGCCCATGGGTTGAGCATCTTGCTTACCTCCCTCCTTCAGCAGCACCGCAGAGTCATTTGCGGCAAACCATTTCAGCAGAATGACACCACGGGAAAAAATGATCCTGCTTGCTTTGGAAAGAGTTGTTGGCAATTCCCTGTGGAGGGGAGGGATCAAGTGGGGATTAGCAGTCCCTGCAGCCTGTGCAGGCTTCGTGCACACTGTGAAGTTTAGACCCAGAGCGGTGCTGCAGGGTCCCAGCTCCTGGGGTTGGCCCCTGAGGGATGCTCTGGTTGGCTCCCACTGCGATGTCAGATTTTCCAGATGGGGATCCCGTGGGACCAGGTAGGGGGGACAAGGAGATGATGCTGGGGAGGACCAGGTGAGCTGTCGGGTTGTGTCTGGTACCCACTGGCAGATCTGGGGCCAGTCCGCCCTTTGGGATGGGGACAGGTGAGCCCAGCGTGCCTGGGTGCTGCCCCTTCATTGCACAGCGCTTCTTATCTGGGGTATTTTTAGCAACCTCGAACAAGGCTTCCCAGCCAAAGGCATGTCCTCTCACTTTTGCCATGGCGATTCATCCCCTGGCTGTTCTGTGGGAAGGTCCGTGTGCCCTCTTCATCCCCATGGGGTGGAGGCGGGTGGTGGGGTAGGATGCCTGCCCTGGCCCTTCAACCCTCTTGTGCCCTCTGCTCCCGCTGCAGCAAGTGCATCTCATCGTGGGTCAAGCCCTGAAGCGCTACAGTGAGGACCGCGTGGGGATGGTTGACTACGCTCTGGAGTCGGCAGGTAGGTGGTGGTGGGACCCTTGCCCTTCCTGGGACAAGCCAGCCATCCTGGGGAGGGGTGTCACAGAGCTTACCCTCTGCTGTCCCCTCTCCGCCCCAGGGGCCAGCGTCATCAACACCCGCTGCTCGGAGACCTACGAGACACGGACGGCGCTGCTGAGCTTGTTTGGCATCCCGCTGTGGTACCACTCGCAGTCCCCCCGTGTCATCCTGCAGGTGGGCACCCTTGGGGCGAGACCCCACTGAGGGGGAGGATGGGACGGGCCAGTTCTCGCGTGGGCTTGTTGGGTTCTCTTGGGCTCTCGCTGTTGCTCTAAGCAAGCAGCCAGGCTGATGTCAGGGGGAGGAAATGGCACTGATGGTGATAACCTTGCTGGTGTCTCGCTCCTGTGCTCGTAGCCAGACGTCAACCCTGGGAACTGCTGGGCGTTTTGCGGGTCCCAGGGCTTTGCCGTCATCCGCCTCTCTGGCACCATCCGCCCCACGGCTGTGACACTGGAGCACATCCCGAAAGCCCTCTCGCCCCAGGGGACCATCCCCAGTGCCCCCAAGGACTTCGCTGTCTATGTGAGTGCCCTTGGCTGGACCCAAGGGAGGAGCGGGGGGACATGGTGGGAGGATGCTATGGTGGAGGGCACAGGAGGGGAGGGCTGGCGAGCCCCGTACCTGGCTGTGGGGTGCTCTGGGGAGTGGGTGTTATCCTGAAGAGGAGGAGGAAGCAGTACTGGGGGGGGAGCACCAGGCTTTGGGAAGGGTTTTTGGGGACACTGGGAGAGAGGGGATTGAGTAGGTGTAACTCTCAGTCTTCCCCCCGCCCCCTTCCTTCCCCACTGGCCCCCGTCCCCACTTGTCTGTTTTGGCCTGGAAGAGCAGGAGTGGGGGCCAAGCGTGCTTGTGTCTCCCTCTCCCTCTTCCCCCCTGGGTGTGCTCATCACCTCTGGTTCTCCCTCTCTGCTTCCCTGCCCCCCCATAGGGCTTGAAGGAGGAGCGAGAGGAGGAGGGCCTTCTCCTAGGGCAGTTTACCTACAACCATGACGGTGACCCCATCCAAACATTTTACTTGGAGGTAAGTGCTTTGCCCTCAGAGCACCCGACCCTGAGAGGAAAATGGGGTCCCTGGGGTCTCTGAGCCCTCAAGAGCTCTCAAGGGCTCAGGTTTTTCCTTCCTCCTCTCCCCAAGGGTGATGCTGTGGGCATGTACCAGCTGGTGGAGCTCCGGGTGCTGAGCAATTGGGGCCACCCTGAATATACCTGCATCTACCGCTTCCGTGTGCACGGGGAGCCGGCACACTGATCCCTGGCTCCCATGCAGGACGAGGATGCTGCCGGGCCGACAGCAGGAGGGGATTTGTCCGGTTTGCTGCTTCGCACGTAGAAATCCTGGGATGCGCCAGCAGCCGCCCTGGGAAGCTTCTCCCCTCTGGGGAGAAGAGCTGGTGTTTAAGGGGCAAGGCTTTCACTCTTCCAAGGACCGGGGTGGTGAGGCAAGAGCATCCCATGTGGGTCCTAGCGCAGCCTGGCTTGTTTTCAGTGCGTATTGGACATTTTAACTTTTTTAAGCTAATTTTTAATCAGGTCTGCGCAGCCCCCTGTCCCCGTTGCCCCGCTCCTCTCTGACAGCGTGCGCCCCCTGTCCCCGTTGCCCCGCTCCTCTCTGACAGCGTTTCTGGCGTTGCCGGGGCTTGGGAAAGGGGTAGGTAGTTTTGCAATGTGCTTCACGCGGGCTTGGGCGCGATATGGCGTATGGGACTGTGGTGACTGGCTCAGTGCCGCTGGAGTAGGTGGGAGCCACCAGTCACGACCACCGAGTCTCTCCCCTCCACGTGGGGTCACTTCCCGTTGCCCCGCTCCTCTCTGACAGCGTTTCTGGCGTTGCCGGGGCTTGGGAAAGGGGTAGGTAGTTTTGCAATGTGCTTCACGCGGGCTTGGGCGCGATATGGCGTATGGGACTGTGGTGACTGGCTCAGTGCCGCTGGAGTAGGTGGGAGCCACCAGTCACGACCACCGAGTCTCTCCCCTCCACGTGGGGTCACTTCTCCTGCCTTGGCGTTGGTTTAGGTAAAGATCTCCAGACCTCTGATGCTGGGCTGGCAGAGGGGAAATAAGACAGTATTAATGAAGTATTAACATAAAACTAATGGTTTGGGGCAGCAGGAGGGGAGAAATTTGGCATGTGTTGGTGGCAGAGCCCGCCCCCGTGCTGCCATCCGTCTGCTCGAGCCCTCCTGCCACCGGTGGCTGTGTTGGGTCTTGGCGATGCTGTTGGCCCCCCTGGCTGGCTGGCTCCCCGGTGTTAAGCTTGACAATGCTATTGAAAACTCCTGTTGCCCGCTTCCCCTTTTGGGTTTGTTCTCTGTTTTTTCTTTAGTTGTTTTGTTTTTAAGGGGGGCAGGGAGGGGGGGTATTTTCCAGTTGGGGTGTTGGCGGATTTTTTTTTTGTAGTAACAAAGGAAAAATGACTTTTTCCATGCAATTTCTACTTAACCAGAGAACTCTATGTGGTGCCACTGGAGCGAGTGGCTTATATGCGGAGAGGGCTAGAGCTTTGTTCAGTAGGAGAATAGCGCGTGCAGTAGGATAAGCTAGAGTAAGATGAGCAAATAAAGGTTGTCAGTGGCTTGGGAGCTGGACCTGGGAGACAAGGTCCTCTGTGGACTGCTGCTCGGTGGGGTGCTGGAGGCACTCCTGCCCTCCTTGCTCCGGAGATGTCCTCCGAGACCGCAATGCGTGGCTGTGGCCTCTCGCCAGTGGCTGTATCTGTATATAGGTGACTGTTCGCAGCGAGCGGGAGCTGCTGTCCCAGTTGCTCTGCACAACTCTCTCCGTGCCTCGGTGGTCTCTTGGGTGGGAGATGGGGCAATCCTCAGGGCTTGCAGGTGCCAGCATGCTTCTGCACCTTGGGGAGCAACAGGGCTTCCCCCCACCTGCAGTGCTCAGGGCTGCCTCTGTTGCCTCCTGGTCCCCGATGGCAGATGGCTGGTGCAGGCTGACCTCCTTTCTCTTGGAAGGGCTCCCTTTCCCTCCTGCCTCTTTCTCACCGGCATTGCTCAGTTCCCTGAGCCCTGGCTGCAGAGGACTGTGCTGGAGCAGGATGGGGAGTTCTGCCTGCAGCGGGCACATAAATCCTGCCTGTACCCATGGTATGATGGGGGGAGCCATGGCAGGGGACTGCAGGAAGGGTGCACGGGGACCTTCCCCAGGCTGAGGAGTGCCAGGTCCATCTGGCCACTCCACCTTCTGGCTGCCTGCATCACGCTTAGTTTGGCTTGTGTTCTTGGATGGCACTTACAGCCTCCACATTTGTCTTGTGTTTCGTTGAAAGAAAAGCTAAAGGGCTCATTTTAGCATTTCAGCCCTGTATGATGCTGGCATCATCCTTCCCCTGGCACCGTGAGCACTAGGGGAGCACTGTGTATTGATTCCCACTCTGGTCTTCTCTGCTTGAAGCACTGTAGGGCGAGGGGCGTAGAGGAGGGGAAGGAACTGAAGAAATGTCTCCCTTCAGCATCCCCTGATCTGCACTGGGCAGAGGCGCTTGAGCCCTGACCTGCTCCATGCCAGCCAGAAGGGATGAGGATGATGGCAGCATGTCCCTTCTGGAGGGGTCTCCTCACTCCAAGCAAGGGAAGCGAGCATGAAGGGCGCAGCCCCATCTCCAACAGGTTAAAAATACCCTGTGGAGCCCCCCTGCAGAGCTGGGAGGCCCTGCTGCTGGGAGAAGGCAGACCTGCAGCCAGATCCAGTGACAATAAATTCTCTCCTATATTGAGCACAGTCTTAATTCTTGGCATCCACAGCCAAAGTTATTTTAAACTTGTCTACAGCTGCCTGCTTGCCTTGGAGTACATGGAGTTGTGCTTTTATGAATGCCTAGACCTGTCCTGGGCTTGGCAGAGCAGCTCCTCTATTTAATTGAATGATAGAGAGCAGAGATGAAGCTCTCCCCCTTCCCCAGGGGTTCTCTGGCTGCTGGAGCAAAAGCCATAACCATGAGGCTGGAAAACCCCTCTTCTTATGTCCCTTCTGGCTCCCTGGCCTCTGGGTTGGGCTGTCATTTACCAAAAAATGATTTTGTGGTAAATCAGGCATGCTGGTGAGAGGTGGGAATGGGGGACCTCTTTCCCTGAGGACGGAGTTGGAGTGGGGTCTCTGTTCCTTCCAAGGGGGTGTTAACTGCTGGCATTTGGCTTTACAGGGCAAGCTTGCCCTGTCCTTTGGAAGCGAGTCCCTGCTGTTCTGAGATAAAACCCCCTGGAGCCACCAGTGAGAGATCACCCTGGGGGTTTATGCTCTTCTCTAGGGGATAGTGCTGGTTTTAAAGGCCAACTGTGTGAGGATCCCCAGGAAGGTGTGCTGAAGCTATGTGTGCTTTTTCAGCCCCTGAATTCTGTATCAGTGCCAGGCTCCAGCCTGAGCACCTGAGCCCAGCCAGCTGCGGCTTGCAGGATTTCTGCAACACTTTCCAGAGCTGCAAAGGAAAAGAGGGCACATAAAACTGCTGCTTCAGGGGTATTTAATCTTAGTGCTGATGCAGATGATGAACCTGATGAGGCAGGAGAAATGTGAAACAGCTGTTGGAGCACATTTCCCTTATTTACTCCATTTCCCTCCTCTATTCTCCCTCCTTCTTGGTTTGCCCTACAGGTGTTATAAATTAGCCCTGCAGAAACAGATGGTTACAGGCAGGAGACGAGTTTGTATTTGATGCTGTAGCCTGTTGCAAATGCTGCACTGTTTTGTTCATTTTATTTTTTAATCAACAGATTGTAATTTATGCCTATGCAAGAAAAAAAAAGACCAAGACAAATAAATTATATCAAAACTGCTCTAAGTGTTTTGGGTGTCTTGCAGGTGAATTTGCTGGTGGGAATGATGCACAGCTAGTAAATAAAAGAGCTGCAAGAATAGCTTTGTCTATGTATTCTCATGGCAAATCCTTATTTTCCAGCCTGACATATTAACTCTAGGGTCAGCAGTTTTTACCTTGTCACTGAGCAGCCTCTGGAATGCAAAAACTGCTTGGAGCAATAATGAAAACAAGACTTACTTTTAAAAACTCAAAATTCCTTGGGACTTTGATGACTACTAGAAGTCTCAGTCTATGACAGACCATGGCTGTGTGTGCAGTCCATCCTCCAGTGACCTCCAAGCCATCTCTGGGCATCAGCAGAGCCTGGCTTGGCCCTGAGGAGTGGCAAATGAGGCTGGGGCAGCATGGAGGGCAAGGACAAAGCCTGACACAAACCACAATTAAGGGTAGCTGCAGGTTGCTCTCTTTTCCTTAATGTGGGCTGTAAATTACTCAGCAGGCAGCTAAGAGCAAGTAGAAAGGAAATACTTAGTTGTCCTCAGCATGAGGAAGTTAACCTAGAGCACAAAAAGGGAAATTGGACTGGCTGAACTTGAGGAGGGTCGCACTGGTGTCTGCTTAACCAGGATGGGCTGGAGGCAGGCTTGTGTTGAGGAGTGCCCATGCAGCTCCTTGCAGGCGGCCACCATAGGGAAGGGCTGGCCCTGGATCTGCCCTCACTGGTTTTCCCTGGGTGGAGGGATGCTGGGCACATCAGTGTCCCAGCTGGGGGAGGGACACAGAAAAATGGGGAGGGGGACAGACAGAAAAAACTGCTATGGACAACAAATGGGAAGGGATGGGGTATTGGGTGCTCAGGACCAAGGACATTAGCAGCAGGGTGGGCACACCTCCAGCAGCATCTCCACTCCCTGCAGGTGTCCATACTGCCTGATACATCAGGAGTAAAGAGGCTGGGTGGGCCTTCACTCCAGCTACCACCAGCTCCCAGCCCAACACTTACCTATGTTAGGAAAGGGCCATACAGGGCAGGAAAAGCCTTCATAAACCTCTGAGATCAACCGAGGAGGCATGAAAAGGCCCATTCCAAGCCCCGGAGAGTCCTGCTGTATTTACAGAAACAGGTGAGGTACAAATCGCTGCGACAGCCTGGGGAAGCACAAGCTTATGCAGGCAGTGGAAGTGCTGTGCTAAAACTGCATCCTCTAGCAAAGTGTCTCCAATAGAGTTGGACCCAAATGATTTGCTATAGCAGCTCTTCACACACACATACACATCTCACACAGCATAGCTCACACCATGCAAGCATTCTCATTTCAACACTCTGCCACCGAGAAGCACTAAATCTTAGGCATAGTAAAAGCTCAGGGCTGTGCAGAGGCTCAGCGGCAGCTCTCCTGCAGCATGGCATGCTCTCCCCTGCTGTCACTACGAACGCAGCAGCAACTGCTGGTTTTCCAGAGGGACAAAAAGCAACAAGACATACTTTAACTTGGAACAAACTTTTTTAAAATTTATTTTATAGATCACACCCGCCTGAGTGATCTTTGAATGCTGGTCACAAAAGAGAGATCACACCAACTCCTTTGCACAAACTGAAGTAAACCCTCTTCCAGTCTCGGCAGGCTCCTTCATTTGGAGCACAAGGAATGGAGAAAGAGAAAACCGCCTGGAGCTCCCTGCTCCCCTCGGAAGCAGAGGGCAGTGAAATCAGATGCAGTTTGATGCTGCTACAGGGCCAGAAGATAAACGAACCAGGCCCTCATGCCCTGCTTAGCCACACTTCACACCCCCTCACAATGCGGGTGCTATTAGTGTTGTAGCCGCCTATAGTTCCTCCCTCACCAGGAGAGTGCTGGTATTTAGGCACATAGCTTGGAAAGGACCGTCTGACCCCCCTCCTTCCACCCACACTCAGGCCACTGCAGTCTCTAAGGCAAAGTACCCTCGTCTCCAAACCACGTTCCTCACTTCTCCCATGCCGCTTAATCCTCTTGGAGTGCTGGTGCTGGCACCGGGAGAAGTGCCTATAGTTCCTCCCTCACCAGGAGAGTGCTGGTATTTAGGCACATAGCTTGGAAAGGACCGTCTGACCCCCCTCCTTCCACCCACACTCAGGCCACTGCAGTCTCTAAGGCAAAGTACCCTCGTCTCCAAACCACGTTCCTCACTTCTCCCATGCCGCTTAATCCTCTTGGAGTGCTGGTGCTGGCACCGGGAGAAGTGCTCTCTCCCCTCCCCCCCCCCCCCCCCCCCCCCCCCCCCCCCCCCCCCCCCCCCCCCCCCCGAGCCTGCTGTCCTCAGTCGGCTTGAAAGCCTACCTCGAATCACAAGGTGAACTGGAATAAACTCCACACAGGTGCCACATAGTGAGAACCAGGAACAACCCACTAAGGAGGGACAGAAACTTTTCAGTCTCCCTCTAATTAAAATAAAAGTCCTTCATTGGAGGAGGAAGCCCTCAAAGAAACAGAGGCTGACCGCACCTGCTGGGGAGAGCAATGATTTGATGAGGATGCCACCTCCTCCCTCAAAATGCTACCATGCTCCCACAGCTCACCAGAAGTCGGCAGAGGATAACTCCTGGCCTCACGGGAGCCAAGAGGCGAGGCAGGGTTAGAAGAAGAGAGATCAGAATAAGCAGGGAATTGATCACTTGCACAACCCAGGGTTAAAAAACATGATAACAATAAAGTTAATTCATAGACCGTCCTTGCAGGGCCTTCCTGGAGAAGCCAGAATGTGTCATTAAAAAAAATACAATCTTAAGAAAAAATAAATGAAAGTCAGAAAAATTACCACGTACTTCCAAACCTGAAAGCACTTCTATAAGTTTGGTACCAATTCATCATTGCCCTCTTTGGCCAAGAGGTGAGAAGACAAATCCTACCTCTGCCATGGCAAAGTTTGGCCAGTGAGCTCCAGAAAAGATTTGGGAAATCTTGGAGTAAACAAAATCAAGGGGGGGGTCATGTTTGCCTGGTGTCTCTGTTCCAAAGGTGTATTACCACCTGTGACCTCTGTCCGTCGAGGTGAGAAGGCATTCTCTGGCTCAAGGACGGACTGAGTGTTCCTGCACTATATTCTTAATACTGTCAGTTGAGCTGCCGCAGCCTTGAGAGGCAGGCTAGATTTGCTCCAATGTGCACTGAACAAACAATAGGAAAAGCAGCATGATGGGAAGGGGAACAGGATGGGCAAATGACTGCCCATTTAATTCTGTCTCTAATTAAAATCTTAAGTGCTATCAACATATTTGACAAGGATATTTAGTATAGGATTCCTCAACTTAACATCAAGAACTGCTTTCCAATTTGTTTCCCTCTTAGATCTCCAACTAATGAACTTTCTTACCATCTCCTTCAAACTTCAGTCACTACAACATTAAATTAAACCCACTCAGAAATAGTTTAAGATGGAGGGAATCCAGAAACATATTTGGCACGGGGCCACAGTGGTGAGGAAACAATGCCCTATGGAGCCATCCTAAGCAATGTGTTTTAACCTTTGCAAGTCTGAAATTTCAGGCGTTTGATAACCCCTGGATCTGAGACAGCAAATAGGAGGAGAGCAGCAAGTCCTGTGGACAGAATTGGGTGAGGGAGGAGGGAGGCAGCTAACTGGCTCTTCGCAGTTCTATCCAGACTCTCCTCTCATCTTCATGCACACAAAATATAATAAAAACTAATAAGAATAAAAACTAAGCCCATGATGTACAAAAATGTGTCGATAAGGGGAGGAGGAAGGTGTCAGTTACTCAGTTCTGTGTGTCTTACCACCTTCATTAGCTTATAAATTATGCTCCTCTCCATCGCTTCCTTCAGGGAGGAGGGACGATTTTTCTGCAGCCAATCAGCTGGTATGGGTTTTGGTTTAAGCTGCTCTGGATCTTTTGGATAAGAAATGAAGGGAAGGGGAGGAATTCCTCAGAGGGAGGAGGAGTAAGACATTCAGCAGCCACTGGCAGGAGTCACACAGGCTCCCTGAGACTTCACTTTATGGCGCTGACCTCCACGTCGCCGGCCTCCTCCTCCGACTTTTGACTGAGAAAACAAGAAGATACACTTTAGTGCACAGCAACCTCTGAATCAGAGTATCAACACAGCAGGAGTTCAGATGGATTACACACACATTCAGGCAGCAGGAGGGCGGTTGTGACTGATCAGCTTCCTACCACTGCAGGAAGGAGATAAGGCAGACAGACACACCATGAAGGAAGGAGAAGAGACAGATAGATACACCATGAAGTTCAGCCCTTCAAGCTGGGGAGGACCCGATTTCCCAATTTTCTGAATGCTTCACTCCCTTGAGAGTCAGCAGATGCCATGGGGCTCGGCATCCGGGAAATCGAGGCCTCAGGCTCCCTTGGCTTTGTGCAGAATGGAAGGAGAGCTCCCCCACCCCCCTACCAGGGGTCTCTTGCTAACCTGACTCTGTTCCCAGCCTCAGGCCAGCAAGCCCACCGTTCTCTTTTAAAGCAGCCAAATACCTTATTGCCCTCACGGATGTGGGGCTCTTCATCCAGTGCAGGCTGAGGGGAAACAGCAAGGAGAGAGAGGCAGAGGTAAGCAAGAACAAAAGCAACACAAACTCTCAGGGGGAGGGACGAAACAAAGAGCAAGCTGGGAGCACTACTTACAACCACAGTGACACTACAAGACAAGGAGGAGATGGGCGATCAGTAAGAAGCCACAGGCGTATGCAAAGGGAGAGAACCCCTGCCAGAGGGCCCTCTTTCAGCAGCCAGCCTGGCTCAAGAGGGCAAGATTTGACCAATGACAACTAAGACAGCTAAAATTAAGAGAGAGAACACTGACAGAGTCAGTTCCTGAACCTTTTACTTACTAGATAAGTACACTAAAAGGAGAAGTCCCATGTAATAAAGCTGATAAATAGCTCCCAAAGCCTGCAGTTAGAATTCAGTTTCCATTCCTTTCAGCCCAGAAAGGCTAGGTAACCTTCTCGGACAAGCTGAGCTGAGAAGTCCTAACCAACAAAACAACCTGGATAAATTTCTCTCAAAAGAGATAAGCCTTTCCTCCTCCTTGGACGTCTCCATCCTTCCTCCTTGACAGGGCAGACAACCTGTGTCTGATACTACTACTGAGGTTGTAATTTCTCTAGTGTAGGGATGTTCCACCTCTCATTCAGACAGCAGAGACCCATTCTGTGACTGGTTGTTACATGCTTCACTAGTTCAGCTACTGGCTATATGGAGACGCTTCTTCACTGTGAGCACAGTCAAGTAGTGAAACAGGTTGCCAAGGGAGGTTATGCAGTCTTCCTCCTTGGAGGTTTTCAAGACATGACTGGATAAAACCCTGAGCAACCTGTCTGACCTCACAGCTAATCCTACTTAGAGCAGGAGGTTAGACTAGATACTTCCTGAAGTCCAACCCAAATTGTTCCAGGATCCTAAACTGCTAGCGGCTGAAAGCTCAGCCACGAGGAGTCATCCAGTCATCAGAGAATTCTGATTTCTGCTGTGAAACTACTTATATTTCTATTTGTTTCTGTTGCACATTGAGTCCCAAGGTGAGTTCAAGGGTGTGAGGGGATAATGCTTGTGCTTTACAGTGCCCTTCCTCCAACAGATGAAACCAGGATGCAAAGAGCTAGGACAGACATGATGTTTTCCTCACTTACCAATGGTTGCAGGGCAGTAGGTGTAAGTGGCGCTGCGGCTGTTGAGGGGGTCTCATCCCCAGCTGGTGCGCCTCCAGCTGCTGTCCCAGCTGGGGGAACACCATCCTCTCGTTTCGTAACGGCTCCCTTCTTGGTTGACTGCATCTTGATCTGCTGTGGTTTGGAGTTCATTGGTGAGTTATTGGTGGTCTGGAGTAACTGCAAATTACAAAGGGAGATGCCAAAATCAGCATGAAAATAGCTAGGCCAATATGGCAAGGTTCAATGCTGCTTTTTAACAAAAAGCTTTGAGAGAATTGATACCAATAGCCATCGGGAGAAGAATGCAGAAGCAGCTGTTCAAAGAAATCTAGGCCCCTGAGCTGTCCTCAAGAACCCTTACAGGGTGGAAAGGGCCACTCGGCTGAGGTGACACTCAGCCCTCCACAACATGACTCAAAGGAACCAGCTACAAGCTGTCAGAAAGACAGTTCTGAGCTGTCCTCAAGAACCCTTACAGGGTGGAAAGGGCCACTCGGCTGAGGTGACACTCAGCCCTCCACAACATGACTCAAAGGAACCAGCTACAAGCTGTCAGAAAGACAGTTCTGAGCTGTCCTCAAGAACCCTTACAGGGTGGAAAGGGCCACTCGGCTGAGGTGACACTCAGCCCTCCACAACATGACTCAAAGGAACCAGCTACAAGCTGTCAGAAAGACAGTTCTGAGCTGTCCTCAAGAACCCTTACAGGGTGGAAAGGGCCACTCGGCTGAGGTGACACTCAGCCCTCCACAACATGACTCAAAGGAACCAGCTACAAGCTGTCAGAAAGAGGCCAAGCCGTAAGAACCAGAGGCATCTGGCTCACCCCCTGCCTTCGCATTCCCTCATTCACACCAGCTAAGACCCACCACATGACAAAGCACATTGATCATCTGCAACCCATGTCAGGGCTGATATTTGTGATCAAAGGACAACCTCTTCCCTCAATTTTCCAGAGCTATCCGGATTCTCCTGCTGGCTTCTCAGCGCCAAAAGTAGCTAATGGGCAAAAAAAAGTCGGACTCTTCAGCCTTTACCTTAGTGATGGTACCCACAGCTTTGGTGCGGCCTTCACGGAAGACCAGACGCTGGTCTATATGCAAATATTCTGGGGTTTTGATGAAGCGAAAGTGCACTGTGGCTTTGTCCCCTGTCCGCAGGCAGTCCTTGTCCATGCTGAGAATCGTGGCCGTCTGACGGATGCTGCCACAATGCACTGTGAATGTAATGCACAAAGGCTTTCAACAGCCAGTGCCATTAGTGGAATAAGCTTCAGACAGACATCTAAGGCAGCTCTTGCTACCCTACAGCTAACGGCGTTGAGTTTGGAATGTAAAAATTTACTGTGTACCAAAGACTATACGGGTCACATGGCTGCCTTTGTTCAGTCCTCAAACAGATAACACTTATAATCTAGAACAGTTGCCTTCAAACGGATACTTTCCTGAAGCATCCTCAACAGAATCCTACACGCCAAGCAGCCAGGCTAGAGGGCAGGACCTAAAATGAGTCCCTCAGTCAGCGTTTGAAGAATCTGCACGATGGAGATCTGGCTCAGGCAGGCTGCAAGTACGCTTGGGAGTCACACATCTCCTTTTTACCTATAGCCTTCGGCACTCTCCTCTGTCAGCTCCCTCCCCTCTCTCTAATGCATTGCTGGGAAAGGTCAAACTAGGAACTATGGCTTATATTCACGCTGACAGAGCCATCAGGAGGAAAAATTATCTCAGGCTAGAGCTGATATAAACTCTTACCACTGGGAAACAAAGATGAGACAACACTGAGACACATACCCATGGCCTGGTATCGTGGGCTGATGGTGGTGGGGTGATGGAGCACCAGAATCTCTGCCTCAAACTCCCACGATGCTTGTGGATTCAGGCGGGGTGACACCATTACCATGCCTTTCCGGATGGAAGAACGCTTGATCTGAAAAGCAGAGACACAAAAAACCTTAGCGTGATTCTCCAGTGAAGAAATTTGCTTCTCTGGCTGACTGCATCCAGAAGGATCCTAAGGGATTTCACAGATATTAACTCGTGCTCACCAAAAGGCAAAGCCAGAGCTGTTTAGCAGTATGTAACGATGTTATGCAAAGGTTGCAAAAATAAAGTTCAGCTGAAGTTTCTAAGGAAGCTTTAGTTAGAGTGCTGGGAGTGCTGGACACTGACACAGAAGTTTTAACTCACTGATCCTTTAAAAGCAAAACATATATCCTGGTTGCACGTTACCCAAGCAGATGTTCTCTCCAAAAGTATGATGTCTGTTAACACAAAATGGTAAGACTGAACACATGAAGTTTGGTATAGCTTAAACTATATCCCCTTAAAAGCAGCGCAGCTTCTATTGACAGAAACCTTTCACCAGAGGAATCGCATCAAATTTTGCTAATTTTTAAACCCCAAATCATGAAGTTCATCCTACAAGTTGAGAGGAATAGTGTAAATACCCTGCCTAGGCCACTAATGCAGTTGCAGCACAAGAGGAGACTTTTCTTGCAATGCCTCCGCTTTGTTACACATCTCCAACACTATTCCTCATTACCTTGGGTCCCACTGCTATCACCTGGCAGCTGTCAGGTGGAGCAACCGGGACATAGGACCCACAGAGGTTCTATGGGATTTTAATGCGCTGTGAAATGAGGCAGCTGGGGTTTGCAGAAGCAGTCTGGTTGCAGCTGAACTCCAAGAGCACTCTAAAATTAGGAGGGTGGTTCCTGTTCTGGGAGTCTAGAGCAGATCACCTCACCTTTTTCAAAGCAAAGGAGGCAGTCTGGCCTCCCCGCACTTCTTTGACGGGCATTCTCTTGCGGTGGATGGACTTGACAGCAATAGGTAGGAAGTTGCCAAGGGGATCTGGCCCCAGCAGCAGGGTGTCATTTAGCTTGATTAGGCCTCTCAGTGTCGTCCCAGACACAACTGTTCCTACGCCCTATGCCAAAAAAGAAAAAACAGTAATTGGGGTTACTCGACCACGCTAGCAGAAGAGCTTTAGAACTCCCCTCTCTAGGGAAGATGCCTTCTTCAACCTGAAAGAGGGAGCAGAAAATTCTTCCAAATACCAGGCCCCTTACCGGGACAGAGTAAGTATCATCTATCTGGAATTCTGCTGGCTCTTCTTCCCTGTAACTGGTCCGTGGAGACAAGAGATTAAGAAACATCTTCAGCAAATCTAGGTTCTCCCCGGTGACATTTGAAATCTGGAAAATCGGGCACATCCTGTAAAGGAAAATTGATGAAAATGGAGTTAGTTCACCTCCCTGCCTGGAATTCCACATGTAGGGAGGCATCCAAAATCTTGGGACTGAATTCAATACACAGTGCTAGGAAGGGAGAGCCTGGCAAGCAGTCAGATGCACAACACCCCATGTTTGAAAACCTGCAACATTGCCTCTGCCTTCTAATGACATTCAGGAATAGGTGTAAGGTTCCAGGACTGAAGGAAGCCGAATACCCTGCCATCTTCTGCAGACTGCCCAGAAGCAGCCTCATTTCTGGCTCGGAGAGGGGAACACAGGCAGGTCAATCTCAGAATCAACACATTCTTATGGAATCAACACACCACATGGCAGATGCAACCTTCACACATCTAGACAATGGGACTCTCCTTCTGAATCTTCTCACCCAGTCTCCAAATAGGATCGAAAGAGAAATTACTCTCCTCTACTGCCGTTACCTCTCTGAGCTGAAGTTGGAGGCTGTTACAATGACATCATCCTTGCTCTGAACCAGCACGGGAATCTTCCTGCACCCTGGGGACTTCAGCAGTCGCTGTAACAGCTTCAGGGTTTCTTAAAGGGTGAAATGAATATTGTTAGGGCAGCATCTCCCGTCTTTACAAATCGCTTTTGTGGGGTCTCTCCCCGAAGGGAGACTGGTGCTCTTGCCACAAATAGACAGGAGAAGATGGCTAAAGGTGCGTGAGTGAGACTGAGTTTGCTGCAGCCCAGGTGGGACTTAGGAGCCATTCCATCTTCCATTTCATGCCAGCTAGCCTGCTGCCAAGCGACACCATACAGGAACAGACATACATGTTTGCACCTGCAAGTGCAATGCTGTGAAGTAGACGTTTTATAGCTGTCTATTAAGTAGCTTTAAGCAGTTAAAAGGTATTTCCTCTTCCTATAAAGGATTTTTCATATTGAATTCAATGAAAACCAGCAGCACACAGGAATTGAAATATTTGAGAATATGTGAATTAGAAATCAATTTTGACCAAACAAACCTCAACACACTTTCCCTGGCAATCAACCTGCCCTAGAAGGTTAGAGAAGCATGAAAGAGGTAAAGATCACCATCACAGACTAGGACAGTGTAGGTGGACCAGATCCAGAAATAAGTAATTTTGGACAAATCTCATGGCTCCCAACTTTGACCTTTTGCCTCTTGTTAATTTATTTTCTAAGCCTCGTATCTATCAGCCAGCAGGGGCATTACCTGATACACTAGCATCAGCCTCCTGCAAAGTGCCTTACAATAAATGAGGAAAAAAAAAAGGCTAGTAAGGGCTTAAAAAGAGCAAATCATTTATATTCTACAATTGTCATCCAATTAGATGGTTTTTGTGAACAAATTATTGCCTATGGGAAAGTAATGTTTTGGATACAGAAACACAAACATCTAATCATGCCATCTGCTCTTCACAGATACACTTGAGCCAAATCTTGTGTCTATTTAATTTAAACAGAACATGACACAGGAGTGGCTTCTCCCAAGAGCAGCTCTTCTCTTCTCTCCTCACTCCGAGCCAAACGTTCGCCTTCCTTCCCAGTTATTATCTTATGGTCGGGCCTTACATTTATTTGCCAAACATCTATTACAGAGACCTTTAGATTATCTTCTGATCACATGCGTCTGTTTACCTGAAACATATTTAGGATTTTTACAATAACGAACTAACCACAGACAGTACTGGGAGCACTAACTTTCCTCATTCTTAGGACTGATTATCAAAAAAACCATTGCTCCAATTAACCACAGCATGTTCCTGAAGGTATGAGAAACGCATCAAGAGAATTTTAAGGGTGAGAGTTAGTCACAGCCTGAAAAAAAGTCAAGCATAGGTTAAAAGGACACTGCTGGGGTTAGAGGTGCTGCTTTAACTGCTGCTGAGCAGAAAAAGCGCTAGCCCCTGCTGCTCACTGCCATCCCCACTTGTGCCTAGTCCAGTCCTCCTACCATAGCCCACATATGCAGCTGCTTTGAACCATGATTTATTAAATGTTGGTTGGTTGTTCAGACAGAGGAAGGAGCTGCTGTAGTTATGCCAGCATATCTGACAAGTGCCCAGGTGAGCAGGATGTAACAAGCAGCTGCCCCTTCACCTAATAGCTGCTGGAGAACAAGTTTGATCACAGCTTAAGATCACACTCAAACTGTGGACAAGGAGGAAAGCAGCTTTCAAAAGAATTTCCAGACTTTCCCTCCAGGTTTAAATACCCAGAGAGAAAGCAAAGTCACAACCCCAACTGTATGCTTCTCCCCTTAGAGCTCAGTTAAGCAAAATCCTGTAGCAAACACTTTCGGGTTGCCCAGCTGAGTCCTCCAACTCAGGTAATTTTGAAATGGTGACTACGAGTGAACTGCCTGCAAAATGGGCAAAGGAAAAGGATAGATTTCTGGAAGGTGTTTAAGATGCAGTCACAAAATCAGATAAAGCAGCTTTCCTCCAGCAGTAATTCCTCAACCCAAGCAGAGGACAACAGCACATACAGAGGTAAGAAACAGCCCTGGAGAGAGCTTGTAGGACTCACCTTGAAGGATGTTGGCAGGGCACATGTCGATCTTGGTCACCACAACAAAGACAGGAACGTTAAGTGCAAGCGCCAGGCCCAAGTGCTCCTTTGTCATTCCAACAATCCCAGCGTTACTGCCAACCTACACCAGGGATACAAGATACGGTGATGTAAACGTTCGTCCTGCAGTGAGCTGGGTTACAGAGAAGGTTTTGTGTCAGACGTGCAGTAGGCTGTGATTAGGTTGTAGACGCGTCATTGGGACTGTATGAGCAGCCCCAGCCCATTTCAAATGCTGTTGGACACTGGCTAAGGACTCGTTGCTCCTCAATTTTAGCAAGGTGTTCTGGAGTTTAGAAATCTTTCAGTTCTCAAGAACCACACATCTTGGGCCTGTCTGAGACTGACAGTCCTGGGGCACTTGCCTCAGAGCCCTGGCTAGATATCCAGAGTGACTGCTGCTCTCCACCTCTGGGAGATGCCGCCTTCCCTCCACAACCCCACAGGGACTTCTCAATAGGAAAGAAGTTGAGGCTGTTAAAGCTGTGAACAGCCCCGCTCCTGCTGGTACCGTACATCTTTCTTGCTACCTACCATAAGCATGCAGAAGTCAGGTAAATGGCCGGTCATGCCAAAGACGGTGGTTTTCAGGTACTTTTCGTGACCAGCCAGGTCAATGAAAGTAATGACCTTGGTGGATTTCTCACAGATCTTTGTCCATTCCAAGCTGCCACCGTGGCTGTCCGGCTTGTTCACCACGTTGCCCTCACTGTCGAAGCCCAGAATGTCATTGCCCACACTGCTGGTGCGGCCTGACTCAATCTCATGCTTGTGGCGGAAGAGCTTTTGCCGAGCAAAGCCTCGGCCATTGTCTAGCTCGCCATGTGTCAAGACACCTAGCAACGTGCTCTTTCCTGCATCCACATTGCCAACCACTGCTACCCTGGAGGGGAAAGGAAAAAGGAACCTGGTAAAATCTGATACCTGAAGAAACAAACAAGCAATCAAAAAAACCCCAAACACCACTGCTCCTGCAAATAACTAGCTTTTTCTCCCTGACCTTCAAACAGAGATTCAAAAATGTTAGACCTTCACAAGCAGAGCAGAGATTCTTTCACAGTTACTAGTTAACAGCGGAGATCCCAGACTCTGTGGACTAGGATGTGGAAGACTGTGGAAACATGTCACTGGTGTCCAGAACACAGTCAGCTGAACCCAACATTGCTTGATGCCATACAGAGTATCTTTCTTCCAACCTCTAGTCTCTGCAATCCAACGTATACACTGTGGCAATTCAAAAGAAAGACTAAATCCCAACTTAGTCTAGAATACCTCTGCTTTTCTCATCATTCCTCACGTTGCAATAGCACCAGGTGCTAGGGAGAGCACAGAAATTTAAATTGCTGTTCCCTGAAAAGGAAAAGCTCAAACAACAATGAAACGTTTTAGGGGAAAACCCTCTTCTACAGCAATCTCCTTCCTTGTCTCTGATAAAGATGGCTATTATGGCTGTTGGCAAATGTTGGAAATCCATTCCATCCAGATCTGGGCAGACTCTCAAGTCATGTTACACAAGCTATTATATGTCCATTAAAAAGTGACTTGGATCATCACAGTCTTGGAATAGAATTGAACCCTTAGTCAAAATTATTGTATTCCAGCAGTGTGTGTATATGCACACGCATACAGATACACGTGTACATGTGACTCCCTACTGGGATTCCAGCCCACAAAAAGATCCCCAAGCTGCGAAGCTGTCACCCAGACAGCAACAGCCCTCAGCTCAACACAGGCAAATCTCCACAAACAGTTTGTTCACAAAAGAGACAGCAACAACAACAAAAAGGCGATTTCATCAGCAAGGAGTGGTCAAGCTCAATTCCTTTTGTTGGGCAGCTACAACACCCAGACTCGAATCAGCGTTGCTGGCTCAGCATCACGGACTGCTCACACGGTAAAAATGCAGCTGGGCTGCTGACTAACCCTGACTCCACCCGGCTCCTCACCTGACCTCCAGGAAGTCGTTGTCACCCACACGTTTCCGAACGAGGTAGTCGCGCACCTTGCCCCCTGCCTCCTGGTGCTCCCGCAGGAGGATCACGTCTGCCTCGATCTGCTCTGCCATGCTCTTCAATGTGGCATAGGATGCTTCCATGTCTGCCTCGCTCAGACCGTATTCAGTCCCATCTAGAATGACGTTGAGGAGACAAAGGACAGTCAGTGAGCACCACCTTGCAACAGCCAGCAGCAATGTCATTCTGCCTGGACTTTCACACCGATTGGGATTTATATGTGGACTGGAGATGTCAGACATGTAAACAGAATAAGCACCCTTTGCCCAAAATAAAAAAGGATGGTCTTCACTCTAAGTCTTAAAAGATACTGGAAAAGCACCATCTTTCATCTAGAGGAGTTTTCTTCACAATTTCTACAAGCAAATACTTAGGGATTGGCAAGAAAGACATATTTCTGTCTAATTCCCTTACTTCACATGCTGAAGGTACTTTGCGTGCAATTCCCTTCAGTCAGATAAAACATCTCCTCTCGCACTGCAATAAAGGGAAAAGCATTAACAAAAGGAAAGCTCTGACTGAAATATCACCACAATTAACCAGTGAATGTGGGACCAATTTAAACAATCAGCTTATTTTATAAAACCACATCCCAAGTGCACATTTTCTGCAAGTCTGGCCTGCACAGCAATTTCTTTAGTCCCCACGTACTCCAGTTAAAACAATGTTTTTGGCATGTCTCACTGCCTTCGTCCTGGCACTTGAAAGAAATGCTGACAGCACACGAGGCCAGAAAAAACCAAGGAGGCACTGCTGCCTCTGAACAGCCCACCCAACCAAAGAGCTGACAGTCAGAGCAAGCCAGTGGCAAGTATCTAGAGTTTCAAGGCTACCACAGCTCTCAGCTTCTCTCCTAACCCAGGCGCTGAGAAGCTGCACAGATTTTAGGCCAGAATCTCCTCTGTGGGTAAAAAAAAAAACAACGAACAAAGGTGGAGAGCCACATTGCACCTGGATGACCAAAGCTATTGCTGGGTGCGCATTCATATGCATGGCTGACTCATCAGCTGGTAAGCAGTAACTGCAGTCTGCATGAGCTAATCATCATTTTAACTACTGCACAGCTCTACAACAAGTAGAGCTGCCGGGTGATTTCCAACCTAGCTCATAAGCTGGCTGAGAAGCTGTTGAGACAGTGGGGAAAACAGGAAGCACCACAGCTGGGGTCTTGGGTCATAGAAGGGGAATGAGATGTAGGGGACAGGAGAGGGTAAGAGCCAAGGGAGAAAGGGAAGGGTCACTACTGATGAAGCAGTGAGCCACCTGGCAGTCTTCACTCGCTCTCAGTCATCTGAGTTGGGTATCCATGATGATCAAAATCATAGACACTCAAAGTGAATGAGAAGGAGGGACGGTGGCAGGGATATCGAGATTTATTTTCAGTTGGCTATTGTTTCCAATTTACAGAAAAGATCCCCATCTTCCTCGACTATGCAGCAATCTGAAATGAAGTCAGAAGTTTTAGCTCATATTTTAAGAAACAAATGCCTACTTCTAAGTACATCATTGCAACAACCACCTGTTAACACCCTCACAAGGCATCCTAGAAGAGAAAGCAGTTACTAGCCCGACTAGCTAGATCTCCCCTGCAGATGTGGTTATACCAAACACCGAGGATTCAGACTACACGTGGGAAGCTCGCTTGGACACAAGAGCATTATCCCTGTGATACTGGCTGCATGACAAGTGGTCATCTAATCCTGGCTTCTCTTCTATGTTGGCTGCTTCACAAGATACCAAGAAAACCCAAAAAGCACACAGTTCTGAGGTAACACAACCCTCTCCCTCCATAATCTCAGCCAACCCTGGCACTGACGACATGGGTTTTGTATTCTTTTTCAAACGCAGTAACTAGTAGAATGTCTGATCATAACAACTTGATATCCAGCAGATATCTAACATATTTGAAACGTGCCTTTAGCCTTATGATAGCCATAGACAATTTTTTTGTATTCAGAAAAGAAATTCAAATTTCAAAGCAAGGCCATGCTCAATATTATTTTACCAGCAACAGATGCAACTACTCAAATTGTGAAAAAGAACAAAAAGGTAACCCATGCTAACTGCTAAAATCTGCAACGGCAAATGACTGCAGTCACACCCGAGTTAACACACCGAGAAAAGGAAAACCTTTCTCTCCATAACACAGACACACACTAACAAAGACAGTCAGCAGCATATATTTTGGCTATCTCAAGTATCTCCAATACATTCCTGTGGGGTAAAAACAGACAGAACAAGACCTGCATCAGACATTGAGGACATCTGCACTAAAACTGTTATTATAATTTCAGATCTTTCGTCTTTTCCTGGTGTGCCCAGACAACTTATGCCTTATTTCCAAAAAAGAACTTGTATGATTTTATACAAAAAATATGTTTAGCTCCACTACATAAAGACAGTTGCTGGCAGGAATAAAATAAAACAATCTGTCCCACATGTTCTGCTATACTTTATAGAGGTTTCCAAGTTATTCTGGAGAAGTAAGTACTACCTTCAGCAGCAGTCCAGTTAGATGAACTAGGTTTTTCTTATAATTTTAATGTTTTTTGTTGTTTTCCTGAGGAAGCTATACTCACCTGATCCTTGACCAATGACATAGATGGTCTCACCACATCCCTCATCAATTCTCTCTGACATCTGCCGGAGCAAACTGTCATACTGCTCTGAAGTTGGACTCACCATCACCAGCTGGAAAAAAGATTAAATATCCATTTGCAGATGTCAAGCAAACAATTTCAAAACCAGCTTCAGTTATAAGGACAATCAATCCGTGATTGAAAAAGAAGGGCTCTTTTTCAAGGACTGCTTTCTGGTGGTCTGTTTTTGGTTGGTTGGTTGTTTTTTTTTTAACCAGCTTTGCTGACAGCTATTTCCTTGTGACACCGCACAAGGTTATTCGTCTGAGCTCAGAGTTCATTTATGTTAGAAGATATACTTCAAAGCAAGTAAGAATACCAAGCATCTCATTTTGAAGTAACTAATGTTTAAAAGCCACATTTAAGTGAACATCCCACTTCTACTTCTCTGTAATACATGTTTCCATGCAAGGAAAACAGAAAGGGGAGGAGATATTTCCTCCAAAGAAATTCTTTAGCTGGGTACTCCACAGTCTCCGCTGCACAGAGTGCTACTGCTCCCCCAAAGCATGACGGGACAGCCAAAGGAAGCCAGCCAGACCTCACTGCTGGGCACACCTAGGCACCAAAACCTAGAGCATCTCCTAAGTCTTTCACATACTTGATCTCCCCTTTTGTTTTCTGAGGGGGCAGAGGGGAAGGAGAGAACATGAATAAGCATTATTGTCAAACTCCTAACAAAACTTTAGGTACTTTACACTACAATGCTGAGAGGCAGACATACAAAGCAGTTTGTACGAGCATATTTGGACATTTCACCAGTGGAGAGCTGCAGTTTTGCAAGCCAGCAGCTGTGTTACCAACAAGCTTTGACTGCAGTTATTGCAACAACCACAACTTCCTTTGCCCTTCCCTGCAGAGGCATCAAGAGAAGGAAAAAGTGGACAAGAAACAAAGGGGAAAATGAGGACAACAAGACAGTGCTTCAGGAAGGATTTTTCTTAGAACAGAATGGTGTAGCACCATTTCTGGCAAAAACCTGTGTCACTCATACAGTACAGCTGAAGACACTCGCACAGAGTGGCCGCAATGGTTGCATGGCAGACCAAGGAGACCTTCATCACCCATTCAGGACCGATTGGCTACCTGCTCTCTGGCTGCCTCCATGGTTACAAATCTGTTGGTGGCCGAGCATCCTGGTACAGTGGCTCAATAGCTGTTGCGATTGAGATATGAATTTCTGTTAAAAAGGTACTTTTAGTAACAGTTATAAAGGCGTATCACCTACCGATAGCCCTACGGGTAGGCACGCCTGTGCCACACTACAACACTCAATGACATCCATACTTCTACTAGCTGCCCTTACATACGCGTTCCAAAATCATGCCCAGAAAGATGTACTTCCCTTCACTATGCACTAAGGCCAGTCTGAAATCTGTGCTAGATTTGCCTAGAACATATGGTTTACAACAGTTCACAATGATTACATCTTCAAGCCTGCCCAGCATTTTCTACTAACACAGCCTGACTGTGTTAGCACAGCTAATACGTTGTGTACTCAAGGAGGAACTACCTTTACCACCTACTACTACTACTACTACTACACAGTTGATGAGGACCTTTATTAGAAATCTAGAGTGTAAGGGAACCCAAAACCCCACAAATAACGCTTAAGCGGCTTTCAAAACTATAGCAATGCATGCATCTGGACAACTAAAGCACAGACAGCAAGTGCTGGTTAGAAGGTTTAAGGCACCCAAAGCAACGCTTTCCTCAAATGTTAAGGGTCACACAGAGCATGTATGTGTCTGCAAGGGCCAGACAGCTACGAGAGAGACAATCACCTTCATGTGCCTACTTTAGATGCATGCCCTACCTAAGGCTTTGAACTACTTGGCATAGTCTGCAAAGGGTAGCAAAGCACTCTGATCTGGAAGGCCACATAGTCTTTCTATTTCACGCTACAAAGGACTGAGTTTTGCCTTTATTAGTTGTTCTTTTGGTTTTGTTTTCTTCTTAAAGGAGACCACTGGATGTAAATATATTGAGAGGGAAATCAGCAACTGTTCAGAGGCTTGATCAGGACAGGAATGGAAGGCTGCATGTTGATGTGTAGGGCTTGTTTTGCCCAGCAAGCACTTTCAGGAATTCCTGGAAGCACAGCAGACAGGCTCACTGTTTATGCTAGTGCACCAGCACAGGTCAGGGACTCAGGAAGATCTCTTAAACACACTGTTATACTCAAAGATCAATAAAATAACAGGGGCCACGAGTGTAGAGGCACGCTAACTTCAGTTTCTTCAAGTCTCATCGCCACCTTCATTTTTCTGTGAGTTCAAATGCTTCAGCAGTGTGAGTGGGCAGGGTGTTGTCTAAAGTACCAGGGGACATTTCAGCTGAGCAGCTCGCTGCAGCCTTTCTTCATAGTGCCAGGCAGGAGGGCTGGGGGCTCAAAACAGCATGGTACCCACACACATCAGCTCAAAACACTGTTCCCCCACCCTGCTGCTTTCACTGCCATGCAAAGGTGCTGCTGAAGGGTGTTAGCAGTGGTAGACTGCCTCCAAAGCCTACCCTGGGGCCGACGAAGCTTACAGCTGATATGATATAGCGGGACATCAAGAGAAGGATGTGTAGAACAAATAGCAGCTTTCATGGATCACACCTTCCAATGCCGTTCAGTATTTCTAACGGCTGCTTCAGCAGCCCGCAGCCCCCAGCCAGTTCTGCAGTTTCCTAGGTCACTGCAAGACTTTACTTGCTGTTTTGAAGATCTCTTTAGCTAGCTTCCTGGACAGAGGGAGCCTGTTCTTTGCCATCTCCTCGGTGGGAAAGAGGCCCTCCATCTTGGCCTTTCTGCTTTTTTTGCTTTTCACCTTTGAGCAATCCCCTCCATGCTTGCACTACGTATTCTTGTTTTTCAGAGGTTTTCACAAAGTCAAAAATTTTCACTTTTGTTCTTTCCACTTTGCCAGGCATTGAGCAGTTAACAGTAGGAGCCATGTGGGTCTAGCAACCTCAGATTTCCTACAGGGCAAAAAAGTAACAACCAGTTATTGTTTTATTCTCATGACAGCAGAAGGAAATATATCTCACAAGTTTGAGATGCCATCTCTAAAGTCCCTTCCCAATCTCTGGGGAAAGGTGGCTTTTCCCACCTTTCCTCTGACCAGTTTTGGGATTAACATACACCAGAGGTGGGTAATAGCTACAGCTGTCTGAGCTTACTCCAGGGGGACAAGTTGGACTGTGTCATTCTGCACCGCCCAACAGCAAGCAAGAGGCCATAGTATTAATTAACAGCAATTTCAAGACACCAGTGAGATTGAGCTAAGGTTATATCAGCACTACTACAGGCAGTCCTTACAAAAGAAGCATCCCATATCCATGAGGCAGACAAACTATAAAGATTAAGGGCAAACCAAATACTGTGTGGTATGTAGTGCTGCTCTTTATTGGAATAACACAGCCTGACATTTTGCATGGCTGGAAGGCCACCACCAGCCATTGGGAAGTCAGGGGAAAGGCACCTTCTGTAATGTCATATTTTGCTTTCTATTTCCTGTGGACATATATAGTTCAAGTGCTATTAATGCTCTGTTGTCAATGTAGATCTAATGTAAGTATCAGCTTCACTAATAGCCTTGTATGATATGGGTTTGACCTGAAAGATGATTACTACTGCAGTGTGTTAGTACTGAAGGGAAAACAAACACCCATTAAGATCGACACGATAATGAATTTGTGCTGATGAATGGAACTGTTTGCTTGACCAGCTGACAAGGTGCTCTTGATAACTGAATCCCAAAGTGTTCCTCTCTAAAAAGAGCACACCTTAAAATGAACGCACTGGGGGAAGACTGCGAGAAAAGTATGTAACACAGCGAGGGGGTGGGTCAGACCAGGACAGAAGTAGCAACTAGCAAACAAATTGACTGCAGTGGGAATCACCATTTTAAGCAGGAATTGGAGGGCAGCAATTCAATGGGGAAGACAAAAAAGATGGGGGAATTGGGGATGGGGGGGCAGGTTAGCTACTGCATTCTCACCATAGGAGATTGCTGTTTTGATCACATAGCGGGAGACTAACTTGGAGAGATGGGGCAGAGCTCATAGTCTTAGCTCTCATCCAAGATGGGGATGAATGAAAGGTCTAGGGAAAAGATAGCAGCTGTACACTGCTGTATGGAAAAGTAACTTGTAATAAAAGCAAAAAAAACGCTTACCTATCGCCTCCATAGTGCCTGCAGATTTCTAGGAACGGAAGACAGGCTGACAACACAAATGGAAGTTGTGGGAGAAAAGCATTCCTCTCTCTTCATCAGAGTTTTGGTCAGGTTCCTGGCTGTCAAGAATCAGTGATGCAGCCCTCAGCGTCCTCCTGGGCCCTCTTCCACATCAGCCACATCCAAGACAAAGCACAGATCGATACTGGCATCCTGTATCAAAATCTTGTCCAGCTCATTAAGGCACGAACAGGTGGCTCAATAGACACTGCAGGTTTGATTTCTGTTCTTTACTATCTTATACGACATCTTCACAACATTCATTTTAACACAGTACCACATTGTAAAATATCCAGTCATCCCCTCAAAAACAGACATTTCCACATCCACACACCACAATTCCTCTCTCTCCATTTCTCCACAGAGGGCAAGAAAATCCAGGACTTAGGAACAACTCCAGCTGGAAGCATGAAGAGGAGGGATGGCAGAAAAACAGGAGGAAACACCAGCTATACTAATTTCTGGATCACATCACTACAAGTGGACCGAACCAAGTTTTCAGGAGACTTTAGAGTGGGAGACAGCATCACAATACATCAAACCCTTGGCAGCAAAAAGTATACAGATAAAGAGATCAGCCAATTGGGAAAAAATAGAAGATGGTGTGGAAAGGCAGCTAATGTAGTCTGTAGCGGGCTCTGGCATGCATGTATTACTACAACGTACCTTCCTGCAAGACGGAAGTGAGAACGGATTCTGACAGAAATAAGACCACCACACAGTTTTGTCACTTGATTCCTAGAAAGGAACTGCACAAGCTGAACAAACCTTTTTGTGTTGACTTAACCTGGTTTGCAAGAGCAAGTCACTTGTCATTGAGCC